TGCTTCCCATCAAAGAAGTGAGGTGGGAATGGGGATTTTGCAGTATCCTTCCCCTGGAGTGGGGTGGGAATGGGGATTTTGCAGTATCCTTCCCCCAGGAGTGGGGTGGGAATGGGGATTTTGCGGTATCCTTCCCCTGCCATACCCACCAAGCCACACCCACCAAGCCACAATATGCCCACCAAGCCACGCCCACAGAACTGATAGTAAAAAAAATTGGATTTCACCACTGACTAGCACCACTTGTCAGTAGTAACAAATACGATTCTGGTTGGTCAAAACGTGTGACTGCTACAGTTACACCAAACTCAGTTGGGAAACCCCACTTGTAACTAGATATGGAGCATTTGAAAGCCTCTGCAACACTGGTGGGATTCACATAATTTACCTACCGGTTTGCCCAGCACAAAAAATGTGAGTGTGCACACACATGCCCTTTGCTCGCGCGTGCCTTCCACGCATACACCCGGCCTCAAAAACTTGCCTAAATAGGACAGCATAGAGCTGGGGCGGGTGGGCGGGTCCACCCCCAATTTCCCCTACCGGTTCGCCTCAACCGGTTTGAACTGGCTGAATGCCACCTCTGATCTGCAATAGAAATGTTGAGTTGAAAGACCTGACCCTAGTTACCAGTTACCTATTTTATTTCTGCTCTTAATTTTTGTATTTTACGTGTTTTATTCTGTGCCTGTTCACCGCCCTGAGTCCTTCGGGAGTAGGGCGGTATACAAATTAAATTAAATTAAATTAAATTAAATTAAATTAAATTAAATTAAATTAAATTAAATTAAATTAAATTAAATTAAAAAAATACTACCGGTTTGCAGCGGGTCGAGTGCGCGCACGAGCTTTGCTCATGCATGCTCTTCTGTGCATGCGCAGAAGCGTTTTGGTGATGTCAGGGTCAGTGGGTGGAGCCTCCCATCGGTTTTACTACCGGTTCTATAGAACCGGTGCGAACCGGGGGCAACCCACCACTGAACTGGATGTGCCTCTGAATTTCATCTCTTGGTCGCCCTAGTTTTCAAGCTCAGTTAGGTCACAGTTCAAGGTCTTTCCTTGTCACTTGCAGTTAACTCCTGTATCCATGGAGGTGTTTGTAACTTTGTTGAGTTTTGCACTGTTCAAAATTATTTGCTTGAACTGTTATTCCTGTTTTGGAAAGGCTCGGTCTGATTCGAAGGAACAATGATTTGCCGTTTTTTTAAAAATGAAAACAAACGAACTTGCATCCCTTGGTTCAGTTTGACTTTTGTGTGTGTGTGTGTGTGTGTGTGTGTGTGTGTGTGTGTGTGTGTGAGGCCACCAGAACTGTCATGGTTACCTCCATCAAAATCTGTGCTTCACTTGTGGCAAGGCACAATACAAGGAAAGCTTTTGTCTGCTTCCTTAGCCTAGTTCAGTAAAACTAAAACAAATTACCGTATTTTTCAGAGTATAAGACGCTCCGGACTATAAGACGCACCTACCTGAGGAAAACAAGAAAAAGAAATCTGCCTCTGCCTCCCAGCAATTTTGCCTTATTGCAGCAAACAGCAAACAGCCTGCTTTACTTTCATTTTCGTTTTCAGCATAGCTTGATTAGCACAAGCAAAAAAAAAAAATCTGCTCCCAGCAATTTACCTGTTTGCAGCAAGCAGCAGAGGCCTGTGCAGCAATAGGCAATAGGCAGCCTGAAACAGCTGAGAGTCGAAAGGCCAATCCAACGGACAATCAACTTGTGCTAATTAGGCTGTGCTGAAGCTGAAATGGGCTGTTTTGCTTGCTGCAAGGAGGTAAATTGCTGGGAAGCAGAGGCCAAAGGGTGGGGGCCAGTGGGTTGGCAGGGCTACATGTATAAGATGCACCCAAATTTTCACCCCCTTTTAGGGGGGAAAAAGGTGTATCTTATATTCCAAAAAATACGGTAACTTCCAATAACAAGAAAGCCATCACTGGTAGCAGAAATAATCGATGCTAATGTCCAGCTAAGCAATGAACTTGAAGCCACAGAGAAAAGTTTATTTTTTTTAAAACTTATTTAAAAATTGCACAATTTTATAGAAATACAGGAAAATAAAACAGGAAGGCATGCTTCCATTACTGTACAAAAATACATTTACTGTGGTGCTCTGCAGGTTTTGTCAGCCATATAAATTAAACACAGTTTGATTCCGTACAAGTTCTAAAATAAAACCATAAGTTGCATTAATGAGCATAGCAAAAAGAAAATCACTTTAAAGATGCAGTAAACTATAGAAATGTGTATTTGCTGCCAATAATGCACTAAATATATGGAAGCAAAGTTTTTCTATCCATTGGAGATGAACTTTATTGGCTTAGAAATTAGCCCAACCCAGGTGTATCCTATCGAATGAAAAATGAACGGAACAAATCCTAAGTGCAAGGGTTATTCTGCTCATACTTGCATCTTTGTCGTGTAGTCTGGAAGAAGCTTCTAATTTTGCAAAATGTGTGCATCTGTTTTCCCACTCATTCACGATTGTTTAGATTCTCCCTGCCCCTTCCAGAGTCTTAGCAACAGATAAGGGAGGAAAGGTGGAGTGAGCCACATATCTGCATAGAAAGTTGCAGATTTGACAGGTGATTCCTTCAAAATGAACACAACCAATTTAAGCATGCTTTTTAAACATACTAAATTACTACACACTGTAGTTTGATCTTAAATGCATGACCCATATGCACGGATATTTAGAGAGCTTGCCAGAGATGATGCAGAATTCCCTTGCCCCATCCCCCCAAAAGTATGAAGTTCCATGAATTATGGCTTCTCCAACTGGTGCCCTCCAGTTGACATCTAACATATCAGGTTGGAGACGAAACTGGCGCTGTATACAGGTAGTCCTTGAGTTATGACAAGTTTGAAGTTACAACGGATCCTGAAAAAAGGGCCTTACAATCCAAGTTGAAATTCTGACATCCATTCCCTCCCCGCCCGTGTCACGTGACCACATTTTTGGCAATTGGCCTGCATTAATGGCCATTTGCAATGCCCACAGTCATGTGACCATGATTTACTATCGGTTTTTTTTCCTCTAGAAACTGGCATTTACTTCTGGTTTTTGGCAAAACCACCACCCACCGAGAGCTATGGTTTTACTTCATGTTGGCTGTTCGCTTTACCACTGCCATGTTTGCTTTATGACTCTTGGGTTGGCTTAATGACCACTGCAAAAAAATAAATAAATAAATTGTAAAGTTGGGTGGGGTTATATGGCGATCCATTGTGTGACTATCTCAAATTCTGACCGAAATTGCTGGCTCAATTATGGTCGTAAGTCAAGGACTACCTGTATAGTGATGTCAGTCCTTTGAATGTATTTTCCATGTGCCAGCAGTCAATGACATAGAGGAAAAACATGTAACATGTAAAATGCAGAAAAGTTGGATAAAAGAACAGCACTCATTAGAGTGAACAATGACCCTTTCCCCCCAATTCATGTAACAATCCAATAATTGCAAGTTTGACGCTTACACAAATTAACTTATATATCATGATGTAAATGAGGGCAAATTCTTCAGACATTCTTTCTATCGACTGTTGTTCAAAAGAAAATGCCAGGTAAATGACCTTAAATTCCAAACGTCGCACAGAAAAAGCAGCACAAGATTCTCCCGTAAATAATATGCTTGAGTTTCATCTCTAGACCTTATACTTGAGTTATCAAATATATATATATATATATGTATATTTATAAATATATCCTCTAAATGTACAGCGGGTAGCATATATTAAAAGCTGCAAACTTAAAATGCAGTCTTCATATTGTCTATAAGTTGTAGAAAGGATGCAACAGAGGAATAGAAAACAGAAATACCGAGATCTCGCAAACACGTGAATCTTTGACTTGTCTGCGGAACTGTAAGACCTGAGGCTGATTCACACACACAATGCTTTCACTCTAGGTGTTTCTCAACCTTGACAACTTGAAAAGATGTGGACTTTAAACTCCTAGAATTCTCCAGCCAGTTTTGCCGGCTGGGGGATTCTAGGAATTGAAGTCCACACCTCCTCGGATATTGACACAAGCTGAGATACATTGCTGTAGTAGTGCTTTGTGGGTGGGTCTATCACCTGCAGCTAAGTGTATGCGTTGCCTTGATTTGGAAGGCAGATTTTGCTTGCGAAGATCTAAAAAGTTATTTCTAAGATTGCCTCTGTGATGTCTCTGCTCACGGTCTGATGCTAAGGGAATAAGGGTCTGTTTGTAAATCTGGCTCTCTTTTTTTTAACCATAGCTGAGTTGAAGACTGGGGTGAGAGACAGCAAAAAGTGTCCTGAAATGCAGATCTATAGATCGCTGTAGTGACCTCATCTCTCTCTCTCTTATCTATAAATTACAGGTGTGCACTCACAAATATTATGCTCATGTGCTCCTTCTTTCAATGACTATAGAGATTCTCAGTTGTCCAGGTCATAGTTGTTCCAAAGTTGCTTTTTCAGGAGGCAACTGGACTTTCTTGTTTTTTTTTTCTTTGAAGAGGTTTCGCTTCTTATCCAAGAAGCTTCTTCAGCTCTGACTGGATGGTGGAAAATGAAAGGATTTATACTCCTTGCAGACAGCTGGTCATTTGCATCCTTTTACAGAGTCATTGAGGCCACTTGGAGGTTTGACTGTGTCCTCGTGGTCAACTGAATAGTATTAAATTCCTGTAGTCTGCAATTTTTGTTTCTGGAAATCCATTCATAGTCCCACACCATTTGAAGGGGGTTTAGGGTTTTCTAAAAGTTTAGTCTTTTAGCTATGCAATTTGGGGTGAACACCCTTCAAATGGTGTGGGAGTATGAACGGATTTCCAGAAAAAAAAAAAATAGCAGACAGGAAACATTAGCACTACTCAGATGACCCTGAGGACACAGACAAACCTTCAAGTGGCCTCAATGACTCTGTAAAAGGATGCAAATGACCAGCTGTATGCAAGGAGTATAAAACCTTCCATTCTCCACCATCCAGTCAGAGCTGAAGAAGCTTCTTGGATGGGAAGCGAAACGTCTTCAAAGGAAAAAAAGAAAGAAAGTCCAGTTGCCTCCTGAAAAAGCACCTTTGGGACTTCTTTCAATGAAGTTTCACACTTCACTGAATACTCTTCACACACGTAAGAGATTGTCTTGTCTGTAGCGTAACCTTTTCCAACCTTGGATGCCTTTCAGAGTTGCTAGAATTAACTCCCATCATTCCCAAGGAATATGGTCAGTTAATCTGCTAGTTACAGATGCTGGGATTTTAGGGGAGACTAAATCAGGGAAGCTGCTACTACACAGTACGTTTTGCTCTCTCTCGTTTTCTTTGTGAATCGACAGATCTGCATCCTTGAAGAGAGATAGTTGGCTTTCTAGAAATGGTCTACCCCAGTGGTTCTCAACAGGAGTGGGCTTCAAAAATTTTAGGAAGGGGTTCTCTACCCGGTTGCTGGGTGGGTGTGGCCATGGTGGGTGTGGCCTAGTCGGCTTCCTCCACCATGGCAAGGGGGGGGCATTTTTGTCCTCCCCGGGCTCCGGAGGCTTTCCTTGAGCTTCCAGGAGGGTGAAAACGGCCTCCCCAGGCTCCGTTAGGCCCATTTTTTGCCCTCCTCGAGCCTCCGCACGCGCCCTGCATCCAAAATGGGCCACATGGGGACTCCTGGGAAGGGTGGGGTGGGGCGGGTGGGGCAAACCAGGAGTGGGATTTGGGGGTTCTCCGAACTGTACAGAATCTTAGCTAGAGGTTCTCCCGAACCCCTGCGAACCCCCAGCAGCCCACCCCTGGTTCTCAACCTCTGGTCTGCAGACCCTGGAAGGCCGCAATGTCACGGGGTCTGCAAAAGTTTGAAAAAAATATTGTGATTTAAATCTTGAGTTAAGTCTTGGGAGTCTGTGGCCATGGTCCATGGTCCCAAAAGGTATTTCAAGGGGGGAGGGGTGTCCATGGTGAAGAAAAGGTTGAGAACCACTGATCTACCCTAAAACCTCAAGATAAATTTCAGCTACGGAGTCAAGATAAATTTCAGCTAAGGAGTTATCTGATTGAGCCAATTTCCAGGTTATAAAAATAGAGATCAAATCAACGTCTCTTCATTACATCCATTGTGTGACATGAATATATTTGGGTTGTTCCATCTGCGTCAGCTATTGGTATTTTATCTTCTCCCACACTTGGGAACATGGTGATTGTTACATTATCGTCTTCATGCTTCTCATCCACCCATAGCTGCTAAAAATTTCATGTTTTAATGATACGTCTTCCCTGGCAGGAAAGATGGATGCACAGGAAGCTCTTGACTTACAACGATTCATTTAGTGACTGTTCAAACTTGCAACAGCACTAAAAAAGTGACTTACAACCATTTTTTAAAAAAACATTTAGAACCGTTTTCACACTTACGACTGCACCACGGTCATGTGAAAAAAATTCGGACGCTTGGCAACTGACTCATATTTATGACGCCTGCAGTGTCCAAGGGTCCTGCGATCACCTTTTGGGACCTTCTGTCAAGCAAAATCAACGGGGAAGCCAGATTCACTTAACAACGGTGCTACTAACTTAACCCCTGCAGTGATTCAATTAACAACTGTGGCAAGGAAGGTTGTAAAACGGGGCAAAACTCAGAGGTCCTAGCAGTTCTAAGACATTTTGAGGCTGGAGAGAAAAGATCCAAAACGACCTACATGCCCTAAGAAAACTGTTGCTTACTAATGTTGTTCGCTCAGGGACTGATTAAGCCAGCCGTAGCATTTGCCAGGTTAAATATGGCTACATGCAGTGTACTGGTACCTGAGAGTCTATATTCTGTTTTAAAAAAATTATCTCTTTCGCACACATTTTTACCTCTATAAGATCAGACACTCTCTCTCTCACACACACACATACATGCACACATACGCAAGCACACACACAAATATATAATAAGGGAAAAGAAGAATGGTAACGAGATGGTATATTTGCTAACTTAAGTGGATCTAGCTATATCTTTAGATAAAAACAGAAATGTCAGGGGACTGTAAAAAACCATGATTAAATTTAAAAGGGGCAAAGAGAACCCATAAGACCAAAATGGCTCCTAAAGGACAAATGTGATTTTACCCTTAGCTAATAATATTGGATGCATGTGTAAAATGGCCAGTGGGTTTTTGTTAAATGGAAGTCCGCATGCATAAAATGGAGGAGAGATCGTTGGTCTGTTAGATCCAACATCCACTCGACGGAAGAAGTCCAGTACATTGAAGGTTTATTGTATCTGCAAGGGGAAAGCTGGAACATTAAAATAAAAAAAGAAAGAAATTAAAATAAAAAAGGGGTCTGCCCAAGCAATGGGAAGAAGGTCAGGCAGCAGCGGGTACCACTTTGAAGATGCTGGGTTGAATTCCTTCTCCATCCTATAATCCTGAACCATTTCACTCAGTGGTGGGATTCAACCGGTTCGCAGCATTTTGGCCGAAAAGGTTGTTAAATTGCTAGCTGGCCCAGCCCTTCCCCACCCCACCCCTTCCAGAAGTCCCTACATGCCCCGTTTTGGCTCCCAGGTAAGTGCAGGGAGGGCTACTAGGCCCAAAACGGGGCACCGGGGGGGAGTGTGGTGCGTCCCCCCCACGCGGCCCATTTTTGCTTCCGGGGGGGTACATGAGGCCAAGTGCTGCCTGTCACACCCCCTGGCCATGCCCACCATGGCCACGTCCACCCAGCCAATCATTAGGGCAGAGAGCTGGTTGTTGAATTATTTGAATCCCACCACTGATTTCACTGATGTTGTTGCACCACTCATGAGCAACAGGGAAAGCACCTTGCTAGACTCTCGTGGAAAGAGAAGAGAACAGAATAACCTTGACACATGGTAGACCATTTTGGTGGCAGAGCTAAGTGTTGCACGTCATGCTACCACATTTTAGCCACCAACAAGGTCCAGCAAGCAAGTCCCAATGCAATCCACAGTCAGTCCTGACTGAACATTTAAAAAAGGAGAGAGCAGCCACATGAAATATTCGGTCGCATAGGCAGCCATCTCATCAAAGATCCTTTTCTCCTCCCTCCCTTAAGGTACTATTCATCCCATTACATTGACATTCCAGTCTCCTATGAAACAATATAATGTAGTTATTTCAGTCCTGCTAATGAACTGTTGCATCTCTCGACTCTCGGAGAGCCATCAGAGAGTCAGGAGAGAGGTCTTTTGCTCACTCGCCATAAAAATAAATGGCATTTTCCAATAGATATGCACTGGTAGCTTTATAACCTCACTGGAGAGGGTGGGGAGGGGTGAGGGAAATGGCAAGATGGATTGCAGCATTTACATCTAAAAGTTATTGCGTCTGCTAAGGTCCCTGGTTATTAGAACTGAATAGCCTTCCTTTGTGGGCATGTGCTGAAAATACCTTTGATTTCGGGCTGGTGGGAAGCCTGGCAAATCCATCTGTGGATCCACGTTCAGAAATAAGAGTGGACAGTTGTAAGAGTTAACAAAAGAGATCCCAGATATTTGCTTTCATCTGAAGATACAGGTAATATGCAGTATGTATATATGCAGTGATGGGATTCAGCCGGTTCTGTCCGAATCGCGCAGACCAGTAGCGGTGACTGCGGGAGGCTCCGTCCACCCGCCTGGACGCAATGCGCGACTACTGCATATACCCAGAAGGCTGTGCACATGCAGTGGTGGCGCATGCGCTCACATTTGCGAACTGGTAGGGAAGGTAAGTGAATCCCACCTCTGTATGTATGTATGTACCGTATGTATGTATGTTTTTAATCTGATATCCTGTGGTGGATGGGAGTTGCAGGAGAATTGCAGGAGCAAGAGGCTCTTTCCCAGGGGGCAATGGAGCTAGGAATGTCTGGTAGGCAGGAAGAGGGTGAAGGTGGCTCTCCCTAGCAGTTCACAGAGTTAGGGTTAGGGTTAGGGTAACAGAATAACAGAATTGGAAGAGTCCTTGGGGGTCTTCTAGTCCAATCCCCTATTCAAAGAGGTAGCATTTCGGAGAAATGGTTGTCCAATCTCTTTTTAAAAAACCTCCAGTGATGGAGCATCCACAACTTCTAAAGGCAAGCCGTTCCATTGATTAATTGTTCTGTGAGGAAACTTCTCCTTATCTCTAGGTTGGTTAGTTTCCATCCGTTGTTTCATGCTCTGCTTTTAAGTGCTTTGGAGAATGGGTTGACTCCCTCTTCTTTGCGGCAACCCTTGAGATATCTAATAGTTATAATAGTCTACGGCAAGATTTCTGTCTATTGGTGGAACAACAATAGAGAAACTCCTCAGAAACGACTCCACATGTGTTCTTGGTGTCCGATATTTCAGTTTCCAGACTCCATCAACGACAGGTAGTCCTCGACTTACAAGAGTTCATTTAGTGACCGTTCAAAGTTACAACGGCACTGGAAAAAGTGACTTGCGACCGTTTTTCACACCTTACAACCACTGCAGCATCCCCATGGTCACGTGATCGAAATTCAGATGCTTGGCAACCGGTTCATATTTATGACTGCTACGGCGCAGTGGTTAGAGTTGCAGTACTGCAGGCTACTTCTGCTGACTGCCAGCTGCCTGCAATTTGGCAGGTTGAATCTCACCAGGCTCAAGGTTGACTCAGCCTTCCATCCTTCCGAGATGGGTAAAAATGAGGACCCAGATTGTTGGGGGCAAATATGCTGACTCTGTAAACCGCTTAGAGAAGGCTGTAAAAGCACTGTGAAGCGGTATATAAGTCTAAGTGCTATTGCTATTGCTATTGCTATGACCATTGCAGTGTCCAGGGGTCACATGACCTGCTTTTGCGACCATCTGACAAGCAAAGTCAACGGGGAAGCCAGATTCAGATAACAGCCATGTTAGTAACTGAACGATTGCAATGATTCACTTAACAAGAGTGGCAACAAAAGTGGTAAAAATGGGGCAAAACTCGCTTAACAAATGTTCACTTGGTGACATAAATTTTGGGCTCAACTGTGGTGCTAAGTCGAGGAATACCTGTATTTGTATAACTGTTACCTTCACACCAAAGATTCCAAGCCCTGCTGTCTCTTTGTTCTTTGGGAAAGAGCCCCTCCCTCCTGCAAATTTAGACTACATCCCATCCAATGGTGGGTTTCAATTTTTTTTACTACCGGTTCTGTGGGCGTGGCCTGGTAGGCATGGCATGGCTTGGTGGGTGTGGCAGGGGAAGGATACTGTAAAATCTCCATTCCCACCCCACTCCAGGGGAAGGATACTGCAAAATCCCCATTTCCTCCCGATCAGCTGGGACTCGGGAGGCAGAGAATAGATGGGAGCGGGGCCAGTCAGAGGTGGTATTTACCGGTTCTCCAACCGACTCAAAATTTCCGCTACCGGTTCTCCAGAACTGGTCAGAACCTGCTGAAACCCACCTCTGATTCCACCCCATTTCTGCCTCTGAGCATTGTTGAAAATGGACAGCATGTTTCCCCAGCATTTGAAGCCCCACAAAGCCTGTAAAATGAACACAGAAATGGAAAACCCTATTGGAAGAGCCCAGAGGTGGAATTTACATAATTTACCTACTGGTTCACCCAGCACTGAAAATGTGAGCGCATGCACTTTGCTCGGGCGCGCATCTTCCGTGCATGCACCCAGCCTCAAAAACATGCCTAAATAGGACAGCATAGAGTCAGGCCGGGTTTGCAGTGATTTCTGCAAACGGTTCACCCGAACCAGTCTGAACCGGCTGAATACCACCTCTGGAAGAGCCCAATCACTCTTTCTCCATCCAGAACATGCGGAAAAATCCCACCAATGGTACTCTTCCATCCACACGTGACCCTTTGTCGATGAATTAAGGGGATTTTTTTTTTCTTCATGAGGCACTTTATTGTCTTGAGGTACCTGGAGCCAACAGATTGCAAACTCCTGCATTTGTGTGTAAGGGAAGCTCAATTGGCATTTTCCCTAGTGGACGTGGGTGGTGGTGATGTATTTTTTAACCTCCCTTTGGCATTGGCCAAAAGATTTGGCCACATTTCTCTCAAGGGTGGAAAGCAATTTTGCATTCCATCTGCAACTTTTTATTACAGCAATAGAAAAGTGGGGTGGAATGGGAGTTGCTTTGTTTGCCAAAGCAAGAATATAGAATAACAGAGTTGGAAGGGACCTTGGAGGTCTTCTAGTCCAACCCCCTGCTTAGGCAGGAAACCCTACACCACTTCAGACAATGATGCGCCCATATCCACATTTTCTTGAAATAGGCGAAGGAACTGTAGTGCCTTCTCTCCTTGCCAATATTTGCCATCCATGTGATCTCAATGCTCCACTGTAATTGTGTAACTTCTATTTATTTATTTTTTTTAAAGGTAGCCTTCTTCTTGTGCTTTCCCAAACTTGGCAACTTTAAGCAGCGTGGGCTTCAACTCCCAGAGTTGACTGACTGGGGAATTCTGGGAGTTGAAGTCCACACCCCTTTAAAGCTAGGAAACCTTGGTTTAGGCCAATGCAACCACGTCCACATCTTTTGAGGGGCTGAAAGCACGGCATGTGGTCTTCCTTTAAAAGAAAAACAAGAAAGCTAGATTAAAGTGCAAGTTTTATAAATTCTATCTAACTTGTGAGCTCTGCTCAAAACAAGGTTCAGCAGATACAATGGCCAGATACCTGCTGAGACATAATGCAGCCAGCTGCTAAAAACTCCTGTTTGCTTTTCACCATGCCTGTGGCCAACAGCGTTGGGCTGTTCATTGAAGGAAGCACATTGCTGTTGCCTAGCAACTGCATGAAACTCTCTCTGGCCGCTTTGGGGATGGGAGCCATCTTGAACCGATTCCAATTACAGGTAGTCCTTGACTTACAACATTTCGTTTAGTGACCCTTCAAAGTTCCAATGGCACTGGAAAATGGGACTTTATGACCACGTTTCACAGTTACAACCTTTGTACCGTGATCATGTGATCAGAATTCAGATGCTTGGTAATTGGCTCGTATTTATGACCGTTGTTGTGTCACAAGATCATGCAATCATTGTATGATTTTGCAATCATTTGACTGGCAAAATCAATGGGGAAACCAGATTCATTTAACAATCGGGTTTCTAACTTACCAACTGCAGCGAGTCACTTAATAACGGTGGCAAGAAAGGTCGTAAAATGTGGGCAAGACTCACTTAACAAATGTCTCACTTCACAACAGGAATTTTGAGTTCAATTGTGGTCGGAAGTCGAGGATTACCTGTACATTCTGGCGTTTTTAGTAACAAGTGACATCCAGCCCAATATTTCAGTGCATTTCAGAAACACCTAAAACGGATGGTTGAAAGCTAATATTCTGAAATAAGCTAGTGCAGGGGTGGGCAATTGTGGCCCTTTTACTTGGCTGTCTCAGGAATTCTGGGAGTTGAAGTCCACAGGTTGTAAAAGAGCCACATTTGCCCACCCCTGAGCTAGTGTGTCAAATGTCACAATGTGTGGTGTTTGGATCTAGAAAGACAAAAGGGGGCAGAGGTCACCCAGATACCTGTCTAAGGGTCCAGCCCTACTCATAAGTACCCCGACATCTAGTGCAAATAGCGGTTTTACAATTGCATGACACACAGCCCTGATAGATATCATTTGACATGCACAAATCGGGTTGGAATTGCGCGAGAACTCTGTGTGACGGGGTAAACAGGGGTAACAGCTTTCAGAATAAAAATTCGGCTAATATAATTGAAATCCCTAAGTACCTGCCAGTTGAATACAGTGATGGAGAAAACACAGCTATCTAACATGCACATATACTGAAGATCACATCTGTGGGAAATGAAACCTTGAGTTACCCATTTTCCCCACTGATGCGCTGGGTCAAGGGCAGCAAATCCGGTGGCCTAGAAGAAGTCTTTAAAGAAAACTTGCCCTTTGTTCCTGGTTTATGTGCTCTTGAGTCTCTGTAGCATGGTAAGGCAACCTTCCTTTCTTTGTACCTATGGATGTTGTAGAGAACATGCAAGCAAGGTTGTTTCTCAAAGTGATGTTAGGTTATCAAGATAGCTGTTCCTCTCCTAATTCCGTCACGAACATCCAAGCCCCATCCGGTGGGTATTTACAAAATGTTGTGCTTATGAACGTCTTTTTTCCTTCCATCCCCACTGAAGATCTGATGGGATCTGCTGGTCCTTCACGATTGAAAGAAGTCCAAATCATTTCTGTTGGGGTTGTTGTTATTCAGGCTGCCAGGGCAAGGACATTTTCTCTTATGGGAGAGCCTTTATACGATTCATTTGGAAGATGTGAGCGAGAAAGACCGAGAGGGATTGTAGTTAAGACTCGATGTTGAACGCTTTTAATAGCACATCCAAATCACCCACATTAGCGGCCTGAAAGAGTTCTGGCTGATCCATCATAGACAACGCAATCCGGAGAGCAGCCCAAATATTACCTGAAATTACCGGCTGAGACACCTGTTGCTGATTCCGACTCTTTCGTTGCAGATTGAGAGCTGTGAGGAAGTTGCTTACCGCCTCTCTACAGGGTAGGAAAAACAAAACAACAACAAAAGATGTACAAAAGGAATCCCCAGTTTCCACAATATTTAACAACCAAAATAGTCAGAGCACTCCTCAGGTGACCCTAAGGACACAGATAAACCTCCAAGTGCTTCAACGACCCTCTAAAAAGGATGCAAATGACCAGCTGTCTGCAAGGAGTATAAATCCTTCCATTCCCCACTATTCTGTCGGAGCTGAAGAAGCTTCTTGGATGAGAAGCGAAATGTCTTCAAAGAAAAAAAACAAGGAAGACCAGTTGCCTCCTGAGAAGCACCCATGACTTGGATGACTGAGAATCTCTACAAACCAAAATTCATACGAACCTACTTACCTATATGCACCTAGGTTGATGCAGCTGATTCCTAAATTGTATCTAGACCTGATAAAGCCAGGTTGAATCTCTAATGCTCGAGTGTAGGCTTCTACCGCTTCCTCGCTTCGATCACCATTTGCTAAGGTTGCACCTAGACGGTTCCACAACGAATAATCCTGACAAGACAACAACAATTTAGGTATAATACTTGTGTATCAAATACTTTGATTGTTTTTTTGTTCATTCTGCTCAAATGAAGGTATGATATGGATAACAGTAAGTGTCTTCTCCTTTCACCAGTATGGCAGATAATTTTCTGAGATTGTCTGAAATGGTATAGGATCTCCTCAGTGGTGAAATCCAATTTTTTTTACTACCGGTTCTGTGGGTGTGGCTTGGTGGGCGTGGTGTGGCTTGGTGGGTGTGGCTTGGTAGGCATGGCAGGGGAAGGATACTGCAAAAACTTCATTCCCTCCCCATTCCTGGGGCCAGCCAGAGGTGGTATTTGCCGGTTCTCTGAACTCCTCAAAATTTCCGCTGCCGGTTCTCCGAACTGCTCAAAATTTCCGCTACTGGTTCTCCAGAACCTGTCAGAACCTGCTGGATTTCACCCCTGGATCTCCTGTTTGGGTGGAGGGCTGCATTAGAAGACCTCAAAGCAGGGGTGAAATGCTCCCGGTTCGGACCGACTCAGGCGAGTAGGTAGCTATGGCGGCAGGCAGTTCGGAGAACCAGTAGCAAAAATCCCTGCCCCCAACCCCATGCCCAGCTGAGCCGCGTGATCATCAGAGGCTTTTTTTCTTTTAAATGCCTCTGACGAGCCAAGCTCTGACAATCCAAGCTCTGACGATCCCAGCTGAGTTGCCTGCTGATCAGGCAACTCAGCTTAGATCGTCAGAGGCATTTAAAAGAAAAAAAGTCTCTGCCGATAGGCAAATCAGCTGGGATCATCAGAGCTTTTTGAAAGCATTTTTTTACATGGTTTTACATGTAAAAAATGGTTTTAAAAGTAAAAAAAAAAAAAATTGGCCACGCCCACCCAGTCACATTACTCCCCCACCAAGCCACACCCATAGAACCAGTAGTAACAATTTTTAGATTTCACCACTGCCTCAAAGGTCCCTTCCAGCTCCATTCTGATTCTGAATTCAAGATAATTTTCTGAGATTTACTCCTAATTTTTTTGTTAGGCAAGCCAGAATTGGGAGAGGGGCTGTCACAGAGAGGAGAGGGGGTTCAACCTATTTTCCAAAGCACCTGAAGGCCAGACAAAGAATAATGGATGGAAACTGAACAAGGTGAGATTCAACCTAGAAATAAGGAGAATTTTTCTAACAATCAACCAATGGAACGGTTTGGCTTCAGAAGTTCTAGGAGCTTCATCACTGGAAGCTTTCAAGAAGAGACTGGACTGCCATCTGTCAGAAATGTTGTAGGGTCTCCAGCTTGGGTGGGGGGTTTGGACTAGATGACTTACAAGGTCTCTTCCAACTCTGTTAATCTGTTAAACTATTTATATTTAATTTAATTTAATTTAATTTAATTTAATTTAATTTAATTTAATTTAATTTAATTTAATTTAATTTAATTTAATTTAATTTAATAATTTAATTTAATTTAATTTGTATACCGCCGTACTCCCGAAGGACTCAGGGCGGTGAACAGGCACAGGATAAAACACATAGAATACAAAAATTTAAGAACAGAAGTAAAATCGAATTAAATCAATTTAGCCCAAGACAAATTTAAAACCCCAGGTTAAGAACAAATTAAAATTTACATTAAAATAGAATGGGAAAGGTTAGGCCAGACCAGCCTGGTGAAATAAAAAGACCTTGAGAGCGCGGCAGAAGGTGCGTAGATCCGGGATCCTCCGTATCTCCGGGGGGAGCTCATTCCAGATAGTAGGTGCCCCCACAGAGAAGGCTCTCCCCCTGGGGGCCACCAGCCGACATTATTTGGCACCCGGAGGAGTCCCTCTCTGTGAGAGCATACCAGCCGGTGGGAGGCCGTTTGCGGCAGCAGGCGGTCCTGTAAATAACCAGGTCCTAAGCCATGGAGCGCTCTAAAGGTGGTAACCAAAACCTTGAAGCGCACCCAGAAGACCACCGGGAGCCAGTGCAGCTCGTGCAGGAGAGGTGTTACATGGGACCGCCACGTCGCTCCCATAACCACCCGCGCGGCCGCACTCTGCGCCAGTTGGAACCTCCGGGTGCTCCTCAAGGGGAGCCCCATGTAGAGAGCATTGCAGTAGTCCAGGCGGGAAGTGACGAGGGCATGAGTGACCATGTTTAAGGAGTCCCGATCCAGAAAGGGACACAACTGGCGAATCAGGTGAACCTGATGGAAAATCCTCCCGGTCACGGCCATCAAATGCTCTTCTAAAGACAGCCGTGAATCCAGGAGTACGCCCAAGTTGCGAGCCCTCTCCGTGGGGGCCAGCGATTCGCCCCCGATAGTCAGCGATGGCATCAACTGACTATATCGGGACGTTGGAAACCACAGCCACTCAGTCTTGGATGGGTTGAGCCCGAGCCTGTTCCTTCCCATCCAGATCCGCACGGCCTCCAGGCACCGGGACATCACTTCAAGGACATCGTTGGGGTGGGGTTATTTATTTATTTATTTGGTTCGATTTATATGCCACCCTTCTCCGGAGACTCAGGGCGGTTTACAATGCATTAAGCAATAGCCTTCATACTTTTGTATATACCTGCTTAGTAGGGCTTTCGCCCCCCCCCCAAGCGGTGTTCTTTTTATACAAAGTCAGCTTATTGCCCCCACAAACTGGGTCCTCATTTTACCTACCTCGAAAGGATGGAAGGCTGAGTCAACCTTGAGCCTGGTGAGATTTGAACTTGCAGTAATTGCAGGCAGCTGGTGTTACTTAACAGCACTTTAGTCTGCTGCGCCACTAAGGCGCTAAAGGTTCTTTAAAAAGGTTCTTGAAATTAATGATTCACTTTAGGCACATTAATGGCTAAAGCCAACACTAATTAATAGTTTAAATGACATTGGACAATAGAAATAAACATTTTAATACTAAAGTGCTGAACTTACCTCTGGGCGCACAGTGAGGGCAGCATTGAATGCATCTATTGCTCTGTTAAATTCCCCATTCAGATGAAAGAGCACTCCAAGTCCCGTCTGTAAGTCTGGGTCAATCAATTCGCCATTATGATGAGCTCCTTCAAGAAATAACTCCTTCACTTCTTCCAGCAGGGAACTAGAAATAATACAGTGTAGACATGAAATGTAGAGTAACAGAACAGCAATGAAACAATGGCCCGGGCCTCAGAACAGATGGTAGAATTCATTTGCTCCCATGTCTCCCTCCTTTTTTCACGGAAAACATGATTTAAATTCCGGTTGAGTTGGATGATGTTTCAGTGTCCCAAATTTTGCTTGCAAATCGGTTAATGTGAGATTATTGTTACCTTTCATCGGCTGTCTTTGACATCCTCCTGGGCAACGCTGGAGAGCCTTTCTTGCTTCTGAAGAGGAATCTGTACTTGGGATTCTGTTTGATCCAGCCTCTTAAGACTTCACAGGCCTCCTGCTGGTGGCCAGTGTTTGTGAAGCTCACGGCTAAGGCCATGAGAGCTTTCAAATTGTTTGGCTGAAGCTCTAAGCACCTGAGCGGAGGAAAAAGGAAACTTGGTTAAGCAGATGGTTGTTGTGACCAAAGTCCACGTAGTGATTACCGAACACAATTCAGTCCTGAACAAACTTATCTTATTAAAACAGCTGAGAATTAATTCATTCTCAGCTTAGTCCAAAACAAATTCTTCATAACCAGTCCTAGGGCCTTATCACCAAACTCTGATGTCCTTGGCAACCTGCCAAAGGCTTTTCTTGGCAACCCCCCCCACAAAGTTCAAGAGACGCTGACAAGAAGCACTGGAATCAATGCTGCTTTTCTACAAAAAACCCAACGGATCGTTGCTGCTCTTTTAAGCCTTATGGGAGTGGCCAATCATCGTCTGGCCTTACTCCTGAGTCATCCTTTTTGCTTCAGCTGCTCTTGCCTTCTGGCAGCTCTTTGCGTGCATGCACTAGGAACAGGCTCCCCCTGTTCCTCTGCTTCTCTGCTATCCGCCTCTGGAGGCTCCGGAGTCTGCGCATTGCTCCCAGATGGCCCTGACCCCATCGCTGCCTCCGACACAGCGCTCTCGTCTAGACCTTCCCCTGACTCCAGGACTGGCCCATTTTCCTCCCCAGCCTCCTCACTGTCCGACTCTGCTGGCGGACCACAACAATGGTTCTCAGTGGGCTGAAGGCTTGGGCTTACTATCACCAAGGCCTCTTGCTCCATAGGAACCATAACTGTGTCAGAGTGTTTACAGCGCGACTGCTATCTTGAGGTAACCCAGGAGCAAAATAGAGGACACAGAGTTTTTGTCATTACAAACTGGTTTATATACAAGATTTCTCTATATAGACATATGTCAGCACTCCAAACTATATTCGTTCCAGTGCTGATATAAGGAGGAGAAGAGGGGGCAGCGGTCAAGAGGACGCTTGACTTTTCACCTACTTATTTTCCCTGAAGATAATATCCCCTAGGAGATGGGATGGGAGGGGGGGGGACATTCCTGGAGCTGAAGTAGTAGATATGGGGAGAGTGATTTGGAAGATGGCCAATGAGACGCAGAGAACTGGGAAACGGAAAGGGAAGGTTTGGGGTCAGGAAGTCAGTGTTGGCTACGACGTAGTCGGGAACAGATTGTCGTGCTTAATAAATGAAAGATTTCATCAAAGACTATTTGTTTGGAAATGCAATTTATTTGAGACAACACCGAAACCTGACAACATACATGTCAGAAGTGGGTTTCAGCAGGTTCTGACCAGTTCTGGAGAACTGGTAGTGGAAATTTTGAGTAGTTTGGAGAATCGGTAAATGCCACCTCTGACTGGCCCCATCTATTCTCTGCCTCCCGAGTCCCAGCTGATCGGGAGGAAATGGGGATTTTGCAGTAACCTTCCCCTGGAGTGGGGTGGAAATGGAGATTTTACAGTATCCTTTCCCTGCCACGCCCACCAAGCCACACTCACCAAGCCATGCCATGCCCACCAAGCTACACCCACAGAACCGGTAGTAAAAAAAATTGGATTTCACCACTGAGATAACCTCTCCTAGCAGTTTCTTGTTAAGATGTGAGTGGAGCAGTAGTACCAAGCAGTTTGGCATCTCACAAAGGAGCCGTTGAACTGACGTCAATATCATCAATTGAAGTCATTCTTCAAGTCAAGTCATTCCACTGGTTAATTGTTCTAACTGCCAGGAAATTCCTCCTTAGTTCTAGGTTGGTTCTCTCTTTTATAAGCTTCCATTTGTGACTTCTCGTCCTGCCTTCGGGTGCTTTGGAGAATAGGCTGACCCAGTCTTCTTTGTGGCAGCCCCTTAGATATTGGGACACCTCTATCATATCACCCCTAATCTTTCTTTTCATTAAACTACATGTACCCAATTCCAGCGACCGGTTTTCATATGTTTTAGCTTCCAGTCCCCTAAAGATATGTCCATGATTTACAGAAACTCCCTTTTTCCCTCTGAAAGCAATAAGGCAACCATTTGGATACCCACTGGGCACATAAAACCAACAGTCATTAGCGTCACTTACCGTTGGAGGGCAACTATGGCTCCCTGTTCATTTTCATTTTCTGCTTGGGTTATTCCAAGAAACTGCCAGGCCTGCAAAATGGGAAGTTTGAGCATTATACCATGCTAGGTATCAGCATAATAAACTCTGGGAAATTATTTTGTTATGAATGTCATGTAGGTCTTTATTTTAAAAAAGCAAGGCTGCAAAAAAGTCTGCTTTAGTCTGGCAAGATTGATGTCAGGCTCAAAAATCAAGAAAGACACACTTGGGTTTTAAGCAGTTTCCTTTATTGTTCCTGGCCTACAGACAGAAATCTTGCTAAACTAAAGCAGGCTAAGGTAAAGGTAAAGGTTCCCTTCGCACATATGTGCTAGTCGTTCCGACTTTAGGGGGTGGTGCTCATCTCTGTTTCAAAGCCGAAGAGCCAGCGCTGTCCGTCTCTGTGGTCATGTGGCCGGCATGACTAAATGCCAAAGGCGCATGGAACGCTGTTACCTTCCCACCAAAGTGGTCCCTATTTTTCTACTTGCATTTTTTTACGTCCTTTTGAACTGCTAGGTTGGCAGAACCTGGGACTAGTAATGGGAGCTCACCCCGTTACGCAGCACTAGAGATTTGAACCACTGAACTGCCGACCTTTTGATCAACAAACTCAGCACTTTAGCCACTGAGCCACCGGGTCCCTTAAAGCAGACTACTTGGACCATTAAACATATACACTGGGAGCTCTTAGAGAGGAGCTTCCTTCACTCTCTTTCTCCCACACAAACCACCTAAACTTCGCTGTCTCTTGCTCCTCTGACATCCAGCTCCTCCTTTCTGGGAATCCAGACTACATTCCACCATATCATCCCCTTCATTCTATATCCTGAATGTCGACTTCAGAACTAATCAGGAAGATGCCAATTCCAACTGGACTCAAGGATTTGGAGGGGCAAGCTAATGTATATCAACAGAGAGCGAACCCCACACTCAATCACACTGATGATGTTACCTAGTTGGGTAAGTAAAGGTCTGCAAGCAAACAACCAAGCTCAGAGAGCACCAAGAAGCCCAAAGCTATTTCTTCACAACTGATAAAAGACTCTGAATTTTAACTAGTTCCAGATATTCAACAAGGTAGATACCTCAGCATCATGTGGGTCTTGGAGAATAGCTGCCTCCAAGTATAGGATGGTGAGCGGCAAGTCTCCTTCCCTCAATTTTTTTAGTCCCTCTTCAAAAGCACCAGGCCAATCTTTGAAGGGATTTTCAGTGTGGAAGTAATAACCCTGAAAAAGAAAATTAAAGTGTTGGCAGTTAGATAGGGACACTTACATAGAAAACTATCCACATAATCTTATGGAAATCTATTCACAAGAACGTCTCAGTGAGACTGGGAGTAAAATTATTTGACTACCTTAAAATCAAATCATTTATTTCATTTATCCATGAAGGTGTTTTTGGTAAGTGTCTGAACAGCCTACACATTATTTTATGCAGTGGCTTATTTTCAGCAATGGGACTACTAGAGAATCTGTATGACCAACAAGGTGATATTTTTTTTTGCTTCTGAAAATGTTTTATGTATCAAATAAGCTACAATACAAACAGTAAGCGGAATTGCACACAGTACATCTCCTTCTTTCTTTTTCTACTTCCTCAACTTACAATATTAAAAAGGGGCTTGGACTTGTGTCAGAAGCACTGAGACGCTCAGTTTCATGTCCCCAGCAGGAGCTGGAACGAAGGACGGGAGCTCAACCCCGCTCCATGGCAGCACTCAGGTCTCGAATGTGGGCTTGCTAACCTCCACCCCAGCATCCTAACCATGTAAGCCACCATGATCCATAGAAAGGGGTTAATTGAAATAGATCCATGATAGGAGGTAATCTCATAGGAGAAAGTGTTCCACAGCATAGGTGCCTTGAAGAGAAGGCCCATTTTCTGGGTCTTAAGAGGTGACCATTTTTAATTCAGAGCATGCCAACTGCATGAGATCCTAGAAACTACTGAGATAGATGGTCCTTTAGACAACCATGTCCTATGTGATGATGTGCAAATTTGCCTTTTACTGATCTGGGACTACCATAAAGATGTTCTTCACTGTTCTTCTACAATCCCAGGTTACCTTCTCATTAATGGAGACAGCCACTTGTCCTCGTGTTTCTTGGCTGTCTGAAATCCACTTTCTGCGAGCCATTTCTTCCCACTCTGCCTGCATTTTGTCCCAAAACTCTGTGTCTGACTAGGGAGAAGGGAACCAAACAACAATTATGAAACACAGAAGAAACAGAATGGGAGAAACAATTCCTTTAGCCTAAGGCAGGGGTGTCAAGCTCGATTTCATTGAGGGCCACGTCAGGTTGTGTTTGACCTGGGGGGCCTGGGGTGTGTGGCAGGGGTCATGGCCAGCTCGATGTCACTCATGTCGGGGGGCGCTGTGGTGGTCTGAACCCTCTGCCAGCGAAAACAGGCTTCCGAGCTCTGTTTTCGGCTGCAACGGCCTCCTGCAATCCTCTGCCAGCAAAAATGGAGCCCATGAGGGCAGCGCATAGCCCTCCCAAGCTCCATTTTCACTGGCAGAGGCACCACAAGCCGGTCCTTTGCTGTTTCCAGAGTGGCCCTGTGGGCCTGATCTAAACACTCTGAGGGCTGGATCTGGCCTCCGGGCCTTAAGTTTGACACCCCTGACCTAAGGGCATCCTCCTTGTTACTTTTCATTTTCAAAATTGAAAATCCAGAACCTCAAACGTCTTTATATCTAGTCACTCTTTGGAGGGGAGGAGCAAAGGGGAAAGTGGCATCACTTGTGTGCTGCCATTGTGATAACATGTGACAATATTTTGGCATCTACCGTACTAATGATCTAGATCTTAAGATGAAGCTTTCCAGTGGAGAAGATGTACATTTTAGGTTGTATTCGTTAACAGAGTTATTTCCATCTTAGCGCAACATAAGTGACCCACAAGTTCATAATTAACAAAGCCAAAAATAAACACAAGTTAAATTAAAGGATCTACACCCACTGTGCAAATGCAAAATACATACTTTGACAGCTTTACCTGGCTCAGGAAAACTTGCTGTATGGACACAGCCTACAGTTCTCCCAGAGTTTCAGTCAGCCTGAATGGAAGTTGGGAATTTTCAAGGTGCCAGGCTGGGGAAGATTAACTTAGAATGATGGTCACTGTGCACATTCATCCCAGTTTGCAAGTTTGAGATCCAGGTAGTCCTTACTTACAACAATTTAATGACCATTAGTCCTAATTATTGACCATTACAACGGCACTGAAAAAAGTGACTTATAGCCTGTTCTCACACAGCATCCCCATAGTCACATGATTGAAATTTGGATGCTTAGTTACCAGCATGTATTTACAATGGCCGCAGTATCTTTGGGTGGGACTGTCATTTGCAACCTTTTTAGGAAGTTCTTGACAGGTAAAGTCAATGGGGAAAGCCAGATTTGCTTTCTGACTGCATGATTTACTGTAGTGATTTGCTTAACAACCGTGGCAAAAAAGGTTGTAAAATGGGACATGATTCAGTTAACAACTGCCTTGGAAATTTTGGCTCATTGTAGTGGTACTACAGGACCAGTGGTGGGATTCAAATAATTTAACAACTGGTTCTCTGCCCTAATGTCCGGCTGGGTGGGCGTGGCCATGGTGGGCATGGCTAGGGGGTGTGACAGGCAGCACTCAGCCTCCTGCACCCCCCTGGGAGCACAAATGGGCCGCAGGGGGAGAAGTACCCCCCGTGCGCCCCATTTTGGGCCTAGGAGGCCTCGCTGCACTTACCTGGAAGCCAAAATCGGGAGCGTGGGGACTCCTGGAAGGGGCGGAGCAGTGAGGGGCGGAGCCAGCCAGCAATTTAACTACTGGTTTTCCCGAATTGTCCCGAACCGGCTGAATCCCATCACTGAACAGGACCACTGTTAAGTCCCAAACTTTTTCAACAGGGGTATGGTGGAAGGACTTTGACGTTTCGCTTTTCATTGAAAATTTCCAGAAAAAAATGCTATAGAGCATTGCTATAGAGCAATACAATTATTTGAGCTTCTCTGTTCATATTTTTTAAGTTTAGACAAATGTTCTAAAATCCTGGAATCGTTTTTCAATAATGAAATATCTGAGATATTAATGTATTTTGTACATAATCAAGCATCTACTTTTCACAAAACGATTCAAAAGATTGAAGGTGAACACATTTCAGCTACAGAAGTTAGTCTTATTTTGAATGACTTTATCCTTCAATATGAAACTCGATTTGAAGAAAAATCTTTTCCTTTAGTTATAAAAAGAAAATTGTCATACTTGGAGGAATCAAATCCGGGCATAACGGAAAAGTTTTTCAGAGAAGTGCAGAATTTTTACCAAACATGTTTTCAATATATCGAAGAATGGTCTGAAACAAACATCACAGGAAATAAGAGTTTTCAACCGTGTTTTTTGACTTCATCGCAAGTATATTGTACAGATATTGAATCTTGTGTTGAGTTTTTATCTAAAGAAATGCCAGACATTAAAAGAGACGACAATTGTCTCTTTGAAGAAATCAGAAGATTGAATGTATTTTTAAATTTTGAAAAATTAATACAATGGAAAAATAAACAAGTTGAAATTGATAAAAAAGATGGGTGGAAATATTCAGCCAGTTCAAAAATGAGCATATTCCATGTGAAAATTTATTTATTCTTGTTCAATTTACGTTGTGCTGTCCTGGAACTAATGCAGCAGTTGAAAGGGTTTTTTCAATTGCTTATGATTTTTGGAAAAGTGAGAAATCGAGATTGGATGTTGATACTCTAGCTGCAGCACTTGCCGTAAAATTCAATATGAAGGATATTTCTTGTTCAGATATTTCCAATATATTGTTAGAAGATGATACATTGACAAAAAATATTCATTCTATGGAAAAGGACTCATTTAAATAATAATTAATAGGCATGTAATATAATTACAATATAAAATGTTATTGTTAAAAATGTTTTCTTTATTATGCATTCATCATATTATAGTGTATTCTGTATTATTGTTGCAATGAATAAAATGTTTCTTTTATTTACGATATTTTTTTCTTCAATCTATTTGTGTCCTCCTTCTCATTGTAAAAAAGCTGGTCACCTTAAGACTACAAGAACCATTTGCGCACAGAAAGCACAGCTCTACAACACAGTCCTTTCAGCAGTTCCAAGGAGGCTCCACACCTGTTTGCACTACTCAAGTGGCCCAGTCAAACCTCCAAGTGGCCTCAACGACTGTTCATAAGAATGCAAATGTCTGCAAGGAATATAAATCCTTCCATTCCCCACCATCCAGTCAGGGCTGAAGAAGCTTCTTGGATGAGAAGTGAAATGTCTTCAAGGAAAAAGAAAGTCCAGTTGCCTCTTGAAAAAGCATCTTTGGGACAACCATGACCTGGATGATTGAGAATCTCCGTAGACAACTGTTAAGGTTCTTTTATCCAATCTTACTCCTTTCTATTCAGAAGTAACTCTTGAGTTTTTGTAACTCTAAGATTCTCTTATGGTTAACGTAGCTGTGGTTTTTTTTCAATAAAAAAGCAGAGACCCCATCAATTTGAGCATCATATAATTTTCTTAGCAATTGTACAGAAGTGCTCTGCCATTGCATTTTGTTTTTAATACAAGATTAGTAGAGCTAAGAACAACAATATTATAGAAGCATCACTTGCATATAATGCATTAATTCATCAAAATTAATCGGCAATGCTGACTGGACCAGTTTGTGGGAATGCTAGCTAATATTACTGGGATTGAATTGACCTCCTATAATGGTACACCCATAGGGGATGTGGCGGCTCAGTGGCTAAGATGCTGAGCTTGTCGATCGAAAGGTCAGCAGTTCAGCGGTTCGAATCCCTAGTGCCGTGTAATGGGGTGAGCTCCCATTATTTGTCCCAGCTTCTGCCAACCTAGCAGTTCGAAAGCACGTAAAAAATGCAAGTAGAAAAATAGGGACCATCTTTGGTGGGAAGGTAACAGCGTTCCGTGTGCCTTTGGCGTTGAGTCATGCCGGCCAAATGACCATGGAGACGTCTTCGGACAGCACTGGCTCTTCGACTTTGAAATGGAGATGAGCACCGCCCCCTAGAGTTGGGAACAACTAGCACTTATGTGCTAGGGGAACCTTTACCTAATGGTACACCCAGGAGCAGTTTATCCAGCTTGTTTAAATAAAAGCTGGCATAGAGTCCTCACATTGAAAAAAAATCTAGGCAATATCGTTTTTATGTGTGCTCTTTGGAACAAGGGATTATTCTGCGTCACTCTGCCTTGCCTGCATGCAAAATGAAAGCAACCGAATGAAAAAAAAACACTTGAGGATGCTTCTAAATCTTCACCTCAAATTTAAGAAGCAAAATCATTTGTGCTAGGGAGACATAAAATTAGCTGTTTTCTTCATTGCATTCTGGTGCTGTGACACAATGAACATTTGTAGGAAATACATTCTGCGGCCTCAGCGAAAGAGTTTGATACGATCGCTGGCTTTGGGTACATGAGGGGCTGCCACAGAAAAGAGGTGTTGACTTGTTCTTGAAAGCACCAGAGGACAGAACAAGAAGCAGTGGGTGGAAGCTTGTTCAAGAACGATCCAACCTGGAACTAAGGAGAAATTTCCTGACAGTGAGAAAAATTAATCAATGGAGCAACTTGCCTCCCAGAGCTGTGGATGCTCCATTGCTGGAGAATTTCAAGAAAAGGCTGGACAAACATTTTTCTATATAAGAGCTCCTGCCATGGGCAACCCTGTGTATTCTATTCTATTCTATTCTATTCTATTCTATTCTATTCTATTCTAGTCTAGTCTAGTCTAGTCTAGTCTAGTCTAGTCTAGTCTAGTCTAGTCTATTTTTTTCTTCTATTATTTTCTCTTCTCTTCTCTCTTCTTTTATCTTTTCTTCTCTTCTCTTCTCTTCTCTTCTCTTCTCTTCTCTTCTCTTCTCTTCCCTTCCCTTCCCTTCCCTTCCCTTCCCTTCCCTTCCCTTCTCTTCTGTCTTCTCTTCTCTTCTATATTCCACTCCACTCCACTCCACTCCATTCTTATTATTGCATGTCAATGTGCAACATTTGCAGGCTCCAGAATATGGAAAGTTCTATTTTTGCCTTTAGCATAGTGAAGAATGTAGGTACTGTATGTCTTTCTCAACATGGAACTTTGCAGATGTACTGGAGTAAAGTCCCCATAATCCCCATAAAAATCTTTCTTTCTTTCTTTCTTT